AATCACTCAAAAATGCCTGTCACTATTAAAATATATCTAGAAGTTAGAGCAAGATTTTTTTAAACTCACGTAGCAAGGAGAAGAATGTGAAGACCTTACAAGCAATGCCCAAAAGAAATATAATTAGATTTATTATTTTGCACTAACAGATAACGATTTCAAGTTAATTAAGGATGCATCTACTCTCATAAACCAAAGCAAATTCTAAGGTGAAAAGCTATTAAAAAATCTTTTTCTACAAACTAATAGAATACTTAGTGGTCCTAGACCACTAAATGGTTATGAAAGTTGCATGTTGCAAGCAAATATTTCAGAATCACCCAAGAAATTCAGAAACCTGAATCATTTTCAAGGTGACATATGATATTGCACCATACATGTCCAATATGTGTATGCCTATAGTGATTTTTATAAAAATACAGATGTTTTTCTGAAAGTACCTTCCAAGAGCTGAGCATCCCTTAAAGCTTCTGCTGTTAAAACAGTCTTCCCACAGCCTGCCATTCCATAAACTGTGACCCAGCCTGGATCACTTCCCAAGCAGTACAATTTCTTTTTAATAGCATCTACCAGTTTTGGTCGAGTGACAAACACAACTGGTCTCTGTGGTACGCCCCCTTCGCAGAGAATGGTCTTCACTAAAGTCAAAACAAGAAACATCAAAATAAAACATGAGTTCTAAATGTGATGCCTCTTCAAACCCAAACAAATAACTCTTCACCCAAAATAACTAGTGGGCTCCCTCCCCACCTCATGTCATAAAAATTACCTAAAAACTGCTGGACTCAAAATACCAAATACTGAAAAAATACTACTTTTTGGAAATAAATTACTTAGCATGTAACTAGCCCCCCATCTAAAACAGCGTTCAAATTAATAACTGCAGGAGGAAAGCTTGTTACATTATTCCCTACAAGTGAAATGAGAATTAACATCTCCCATGGAAACCGTGGCAAACATAGGAGCTCAACATTACTATACCCAACAGTCAAGTCACTTTCTCAGCCAAAAGTCACCACAATGTACATGCAGCAGAAAAGAAAGGATGCTGTGTAAGGCCTTTCCTTGGCAGTTCACAGCACAGCACTGGAGTCCAAGCAAGACTTCCATTGATTTAAGCTGAGATAGCACGACTTGAAAGAGGTAAAGTATAACAGGAAAGGAAATGTGCACTTCATCTGCCCACTTTGTGGCCATATGGGATAACATAACTGAAAAACTTTGATTATCTAAGATAGCCTTGACTCCACGTGCCTTTGACACTTAATAAATGTAGAATGCCAGTAAATATAGCAGTTAAGTCATATGCAGTTAGAAGGTTCTGCCCATTAGAAACTACACATTGATTTCACGTCAGTCAAAAATGATACTGATGACAATGCAGGTAAAAGTTATGGAACTTATATAGGGTAACTAAAAGATCTGGTGGAAAGAATTAAAAAACCTAATAATTAGATCAACTAATCAATGATCAACAAGATCAATGTAGGTTGAGAAATTTCAGATTACTCTTCAAGATAAATATGAGAATTTTGGAAGCTACAAGTTTTTCTTTTAATACATACAAACGAGAGTCTTCCTTTCACTTAAAACAAAAATGTTACAAATTAGAGGAAACCGTGAGAGCATCAGGTCTTCGGCCTTTTAAAATAAGCAGTATTCAGTATGAACACTTTCAAGATGACCTATAAAAGTTGTAACTGTTTCAACTCTCCTGCCATATGAAGGGAGTGAAACAGAGACATAGTTACTACACTACCAAAAAACAAACAAATGCACCAACTGCCCCTTTTTCATTGGCACAGGTATTACTCATAGTCACTTTCTAAGAAATAAAAAAGACAGCTTGTGTTCACACTCAAGCACACAGGGATTGCTGTAGTTACACTGACCGTAGGAAGTCATTCCATCCATCGAACTCTTTCTGTTACCCGATGAGACAGCAGGGATGCCATCCTGAAGAAGCGCAGCAAGATCTCTGTAGCCTTCATGGAGCAGTGCATTATAAAAGGATCTATATGAATTATTATCTTTTGTAAGAATAATGTTTATTAGCATAGCTGCTCGCTCCTTCTGTGTATTCTAGTAAAAAATAAAAAATTACAAGAGGTATTATACAAAACTAAGAAACTTCAGAAATCATTTCATCTATGATTCTGTAAATTATAGACTATTTAGTTAAAGAAACAGCCTTTAACTTACCAAGCCCTTAACCTTTTTAAAAGCAACAAAAACTGTGTGCTAGGCATGCACTTAGAATTTGACAAATCCAGGAATTAGACAGATACTACTATTTTTAAAAAGGATGGTAAAATAAGTGAGTAGACGAGGAAGAGAAATAGCAGTAAGAGATAATTTTACCTGTTGCTTCACTCTCTCCTCCTCCTGTAATGTTAGTACTTCATCAGAAATCATATGATCCATAATATAAGAAGTCTTGATGTCATTTTCCAGTGCTTGACGATTCATAAGCAAATAGTTTCTACTCTTGACATCCATATTTCTTCAGTGTGAAAAAGAATGGGGAGGAGGGGAAGTCAAGTCAGACTGAGAACATAACTTGTAAGCATGAGGAAAAAAGTTTTTAAACAGCTTATACATTTTGGTGTTAAAATCAGAAAGAGTAGCAAAGCACCTGCTAATTCTGAAAACAAAAATTCTTTTCCCCATTCCTATGAATTTATGTTTATGAACACTTTCAGAACTACAAAACCAAAGACTACAAGCTTCTCATATACTAACAACTTGCTAAACGTCTCTATTAAAAGGTATTCTCCCCACTCACTACATCCCTCAATTTTTTTTAAGTCCTTGGATCATGTGATTGAGACAACAGGAAGAGAAAGAGGACTGGTCTCACTGCATAACGCAGTGAGATAAACGCGTTGTTGTCTCCAAGTTCAAGACTCCATAAAAGGACTCTTGGATCTTGCCATCTGATGGAAGACGGAGCACCCACCACTGCCATTAACTGCGCTACGCCTTCCTTTATCAGCATTTGGACACACAGTTTTAAATTCGCATTCTTCCTCCATATCATAAAAAACAAATGTCTGAAGAAAACAGAAAGTGAAAACTATTGACTACAGGCTTCCCAGATCTGATCAGCGAGTTTGAGAGTCCCAGTCGATCAAAAAGCTCTCTCCGCTCACACTCCTGCCCGGAAAGCTCCATAAACAAGTCCAAACTCCTCCACACAGCAGCTGTGCAGGTGCCTGCAGAGCGTTCACCTTTTCCGGCACTCTCTCCTGCATAAGCTGGGTACATGTAGAACAGGTACCTTTGTATAAGCCCATGATGGAGCGCCTCTTCCGCCGTGCTGATGGAATTTCCTATTTTCACTGAAAATTACGTAGTTAGGAAAGTCTTCCACCCTACCTTTATCCCACCGCACCGCGGAGGAAAGGGGATGCTAAAGCTCCTCGGTCGAAAAATAGCTAATAATAATAATACTACCACAATAGAAGCAAATACAAAACAAAACGCTCCACAAACACTCAAAACAAAGGGTTAACAAAGGGTTAGCCGCAAACGAACTGCAACCGAGGCGCTCAGACCCCCTGCTCGCCACCGTGACCCCTACCCCGCCCCGGCGGAACCCCCCGCGGTTCGGTTCGGCCCGGCCCGGTCCGTTCCTGCGTGTCCGCCACGCCGCTCACCTGGCGGGCAGCGCGGAGCCCCGGCAGCCGCCGGCCCCGAGCCGCAGCCGAGCCCCGAGGCGCAGCCACTGCCCCGCGGCTCCCGGGAAGGCGGTGCCGGCAGCGCTTCCTCCTTCCGGGCCTGGGCGGGGAAGGCCCGGCCCGGCCCTGCCCGTTCACCGCCCGACAAAGCCCCGTGCTGCCTCCCGCGCCGGCGCGGAGCCGCCGAGCCCAGGCTGTTCGTGCCGGGATCTCGGCCGGCCGGCCTGTCCACCTGCCTGCCCGCGGCGGGCGGGCCCCGGACGTGGCGCCCCGGGCGGCGATGCGCCAGCTGTGGCCAGGGGAGGGGCCCCGGGACCTGTAAACGTGGTGCCTGCGGGGCCAGGCGGCCCTGCCCGCCCCCGCCCCCTCAGCTGAGGCCGGAGGAGCGCGGAGGGTACGGGGCAGCGGCCGCAGGGAGGGGGAGATGGGGGGCCGGGACTGCCGGAGCTGGGGGCTCGGAGGGGATGTGTGTCACTTTGGGGGGAGCGGAGGGGACAGTCGGTCACTTTGGAGGAGCGGAGGGGACAGTCGGTGACTTTGGGGGAGCGGACCCAGCGCGGCCGGAGGTCCGGAAGGGTCTCTGGGGAGCTGCGGCTCATCCCTCTGTAGCGCACCGGGCTGTGCGCTGTCCTTTTAAAGCAGAGCTTTTCTCTGTTAAACTCTTTTCCTAACTACTATTCAGAGCTCTTCTTTTTTTTTCTTCTCTTCACTTTAACTTCATAATATGTCCTCTCGAACCCAAAGATGGTTTAAAAGCTTCAAAATACAATTTTTCTGTTTTGGTGAAATTTTTGTTGTTTTTGCTTATTTGTTTGTTTGTGGGTTTTTTTTTTTGTTTTGTTTTTTTTTAATGAAAATCTTTTTTTCCTCCATACTTCAAGCTCACAGCGTGCTTCCTAGTACTGTGGCTCAAACAGCTCTAAGATACCTGCATGACAGATTGGATTTTAAACAAAGCCTTTTACCCCTGTACGTGGCTATGTAAGTATCCCCATAGTTTTACATACATATTTAAAATAGCTTATTCTAAAGCAGACGAAATATTTCTGGAAAGGTGAAATTAGCTTGAGCTTGCAAAGTCAGTTCAGTTGGAGAAAACTTGAAAGCAGTGCTCTGTAATATAGAAAGCAAATGAAAGTATTATGATATTTTACAAAAGTTCACTTAGAACTAAGAAACAAAGTGAACACTAAAAGAAACATTCTTGGGGGTGTATTTGTGTACTTAAAGTTTATATTTGAGGATGTTTAAAAGTAAAAAGTGAGAAGTAAAAACTAGTCCTTTCTGGGTTTTTTTTCCAGCTCTCTCCTTTGCTTATGCTTTTTAAAACCACAAAATGTCTGAAGTTAAGCCAAGGAAAAAAGGTATTTCTTCATCCAAGACCGGTGAAGGTACACAGAAGGCTGAGAAGCACAGTAATTATGTGAAGCTGGCAAGTCCCAGGACCAGCAATAATCACAATTCGTTTTGCATGGACTCAAGGACAAGTTTGAGTATCGTTTCCCTTGCTGTTTGCCTGGTGCTGAGCTGGTAGGTAACTCTAAAGAGGATTTTCATACTTTCTTCTGTATTCTGTGGGCTGTATGATTTACATGAACAGAGTGCTTGGGCTAAGTGTCTATAGAAACTTGTTAAAGCCAGAAGGATCAAGGAACTAGCAGCAGTATTCACAAGCATGGAAACAAGGGTGTGCAGTGAGTTACTACAGAAGCTCCATCTGTTATATCATGTTGAAGGTGCCTTGCTCATGAATTCTAAATACCTGCTTTGGAGACTACATCTACCTGGTGAGCAACTTAGTCTGACAGTAAGTGCTCGTTTGGCAGGCAATAAATAATTGGACAGAAGAAATTAAATAAAGTTTTCTGTAAATAATTTGCTCAGCAGTGTAATAAACTGTTTATCAGGTGAAGTCTTTAAGTGAAGGTCAAATACCTTTGTTAAAGATGTTTTAAAGTGTCTTAGCATCAGTGCCTTAGTTACCTTAGCATGCAGTGTAAAAGCAAAGACATCTATGGATGCTTCCTTGTTGTCATACCTCTTTTGGAAGATAACTCCAGTATCAAAACAGATCAATTTCATTAATTTTTTTTCCTGTCATGTATTGATCTAGCAAATTCTGTGAACACAAATCCCTCTAGTAACAATTTGCTGTGGAATACTTAATATATGCTAATTAAGAAGCTATGCTTTCTGTTTATTTACTTGAAATTTGCAGGTTTCTATTTCAGCAGTCAGGTCAATTTTCTGATCTGGAAAGGAAATACCATTTTTTACGTCAAGAAGCTGAAAAAATCCTGGATGTGGGAAATAAAGTAAACTTAGTTTCTGAAAAGGTAATCATTAACATCTTAATTGGATAATCTTTGCTGAACATTAGTCATTATTTACTTCATTGTTATTTTGTTAATTTAACTGACTGTTTTAAAATAAGTTTTCATAATGTGTTTTGCTTGCCTGTGAATAGGCCTTTAGAGACTATTTCATGTGACAAAGCATGTCAATCCATGCCATTGTTCCAGTACGTGAGTACAGTGGTTGTATCTCAGTATTATTTTTTTAGAAACTAAACTATTTTAAATAACTTACATACATGCACATTTCATTCTTCCAGTCGTCTTTCACGTGCAATTCTAACATACATTTGAAGAAAATTTACCAGCATTTTGATGTAGCAGACTTGTTCTAATAATATGAAGACATAATAAAGTGATAGATGAGAAAATATGATAGTAATGGAAAAAACATTACCATGTGTGACGTTATCAAGGAGAAAATCTGTGCTGGCTGCTGAATTATCCCTGATACCTTACAGATAATGATGATAGCACAGCATGGCTCCTGCCAGTGGTTTTGTTTCAGCACTGATCTCAGAATAATGTCATTTATACATGATGTAATGGATATTTATATACTATACTTAAGATTGCAAAATGTTGCATGGGACTTACTGTATTTTTGGACAAAAAATCCAAGCATGGAAAATTGCATATATGCTGTAGAAATTCAACAACAGACATACCGTTTTTCTGTGATTTTTTTCATGCTAGGTTTATCAACAGTATTTTAAACATGAAACATGTAAACACAACATAGAGGAGCTTTGTAACAAGTACAGTGGCTTTTAAGGGACTTTATTCTCTCTTAATAAATGGAAATGGCTTTCTGCTCTTCCTTTTGCTAAGTAGACACAGACATTGTTTTGTGTTATAAATGCAGCTTGAGTCTTCTGAAAGTATCCTGCGAGAAGCTGCCTCATCCATCTCTGTGATGACTGAGTTTGGGCAGGAAATATCTTCTCTTCATAACATCATAAATGATATTCAGAACAATGAACAGACTCTCTCTCTAAAGATGCAGAGCATTAATGAGAAGTTTCAAAATGTTACGAATTCCTGGAGAAGAAGCCTGGATGAAATGAACACAAATGCTAGTGGTTTAAAATCTGAAGCAAAGTTCATACATACAGAAGTTACTTCCAAAATTAATGAAGTTGACCAAAGAATTAAATCCCTTTCAGAAAGAGTAAGAGATCTGGAAGACAGTACAGCCAGAAATATCAGAACACTAAAAAAGCAAGAAGATGATGAATTCTCTAGAGTTGAACAAAAGTTAAACTTGGATGCAAAGTCAGTTGAAAAGCTAGAAGAAGAACAGAATAGTCTGGTAGCCAAGGACACAGACCTGAATCAGAAACTTGCAAACTATGAACCTAAAATTGAGGAGTGCAAGACCCATTTGCCAACAATTGAAAATGCTATTCACTCTATTCTTAGGTTGTCCAGTGACTTGCTTGGTATGGAAAAAAAGATAGAGGACTTGAAGACACAGCTGTACGCTGTGGAAAAAGACATGTTGAAAACTGTTTCTGATACAGTGGTGATGCAGAAGGCTCTTGAAGGCCTACAGTCCAGTGGCAGCTTGTTCAAAGTGCAGCATGGACTGTCTGTTCTAGAAACAGGGCCTGACATAGCAGTATCTTCAAAAGCAAAAGAAGTAACTTTAGAAAGCTTTAACTTAGAAAATGACCAGAATGGGGACACGTGAATTTGGACTTAGTGCTTTTTCATCAATGAAAAACCTTTTTTATAAATAATGTGATTTAAACATATGTCAAGGATAGCTGAGGTATTGTCATTGATCTGAAAGAGACATTGGAACAGCCTGAAAGGTTGAGAAAAAGGTTGGAGGGGAAGAGAATAATACTTTGTTAAAGAAGGAAAGGAATATTTTCTTAAATTAAATATTCTTTTCAGTTTATTTATTAAAAATCTTTTTTTTAATTAAAAGTAATTTGAAGCAAAGTATTTAGATTTAAGGGGAAAAAGCTCATCTCTTTAGTTTGTATTTAATTTTCACTACTTAGTTTCTTTTGTTGTTACTTTGTGTATTATTTTCCATAGATTTGTAGCACAGTGAACAATTAATCACTTATTTCTCAGCAGAAATAGCTATACCTTGCTTGTAATGTATTGTACACCATAACAGTTTCGTGCTGCAGAAAAGCACTGGGTGCATTTTTAACAGCTGAAGCTTAGATATAACACCCTTAGAGAAAACACTAGTAAAGTTTTCCCTCTACTTAGAACCTTGTCTTGTTCTGGTATCTATAAACAGCTGGTACTTACATAGCAGCTGTTTTGTTTTTTTTTTTTTTTTTTTGGGGGGGGGATGGTGGTTGGGGTGTTTTGGTGCTTTAGAAACAAATTTTAACCTTTTCTTCTGTAGGATGTTCTTTGTAAGGCATTACCTGGTACATCTCGTATTGCTTTGCATTTGAAAAGAAAAAGAGATTTTAACAGGTCACTGACATTGTTTCCCAAAGTTTCCTGAACCAAGAGCTGCAAAAGTAATTAATGAAATCAGTGGAGTTGTATGCTTGGGAGCAGGGAATATCCAGTTTATCCATAGACCTACTTACACATGATGTAGTACTATTTAATAGGCCTGACAGCTGCTCATTGAAATTTTGATCTCAGGGACAACGCAAATTGTCTGCAGACTTATTGTCTTGATAATTTTGTATTTCTCAGGAAAGGAGATTGCTTAGTAGAAACATTATGAACATATATTTATGACTTAATCAGACCTACTTTAAATTCATCTGGGTTTGTACATTCATTTCTCAAGAACTCCACTGAAATCTTCACTCAGCAGGTAAAATTGCCCATTCAAGAGACTATGAAACCAGTGTTTCTCAATGTTATAAAGCCATGTTGGTTTCATATAAGTAATAATTATGTATAAATTTCTGTTTACAGTGATATTCAAAATTAAAATATATTGTAGTGAAGTTCCTTGTCCTGGTGCATAATCTAATTCAAAATAAACTGTTCTTCCAGAAAGGGTACAGAGTAAATACTTTAGTGTTCCATGTCCTAGTAGGAAAATCTTTTATATAAGGAAATGTTTTTTAAATACTTTTTCACAAGTGTGTTCCAGTTCTAGTGCTTCTACTTCGTATCTCTTTGGGGCAGGGTGGTTAGATTGCCAGTGGTATGACCCCTAATCTAAGGGCTTTCATCAACCTCAAACCTATGGAAAGCTGAATATACCGGAGGTTCAACATAAAATCCTCATTCTTGGAGGGCATTAAGTAGGAAACAAGCACAACTTTCCACAGCCTAAATTTTGGTCTTGAGCTATTGAGGAATGACCAGCATTATTCAAGAGTTAAAAATACTGATTTCTGGGATGATATTTTTACTGTTAGTGTCCAGAAAAGGATTAGTATGAAACTAATTCTAGCCTCTCAGAATGTGTTTCAGTTTGCCTGTTGGTGTTTTTTTCTAAGTTCTACCCTGACATACTGGGGATTGAACAGGATAGTATCACTCAGATAATTTCCTTTTTTCCTCTCAAATTTGAAAACCAAGAACCAATAATGAGAATATAAAAATAAGAGTGAACTAGCAAATCAAAACAAAAATCCAGTAGTAGCATGAGGTTTCCTTCACTAAAATAGCTCTTATGGCGACTTAAAAATTCCTATATATGGAAGAAGATTCCATTTCATGACTTGTGTTTTCAGAGGTCACCTTGGAAAGTCACATAGCACCTTCTTGTAATTTTTTGTTGTAATAAAACATTTCTTATGTATACTGACAAGAAAAAAAAACTGGTTGTCTTGTAACAGAAGTTTATTTCCTAGAGACAGGGTTTGCATTCAATTTGAATGTCAGAATAGTAAGATATTTCATTAAAGTATAGCTTGAATTTTGACATTGAGTAGTTAAGCTAGAAATATTTTTGTATCCCTCTAGTGTGAAAAGACGTGGAACTTAATGAAACAGCTGGAAGATCTTCAAATAATATCTCACATTAAATATCTGCAGGAAGATATTTATACAATGAAAACGTGGTCTAGCAGCATTATTCAAAAACAACAAGAACTGGAGAAGAATTTAACAAGCCTTTTTCATGCAGTTTCAAGTGCTGAACAGAATGCAGCTTCCGTAGCAAAAAATGTAACACTGACAATTGTGACAGTAAAAACTGACATAAGGCGCATTTCAGGCCTGGTCTCAGAAATGACTGCACTGACAGATTCTCTGCAAACACTTGAAGGTAAAGTAGAAGAAGGTGAAAAGGCAACAGTAAAAAATATAGGTGACCTACTTACCAGTAGCATTGACCGAAGTACAAAAATACAAAGCCTGGCATCCAGTAACGCAAGAAAAATTGAGCAAATTAAGACAGCACTGTCTGAGTTAAGGAACAATTTTAGCAAGCATTCTGACAGACTTTTGAATCTCGAAGGTGACAGAGCAAAAGTTCTGAAGACAGTTACATTTGCAAATGATTTAAAACCTAAGATATACAAAGTTAAAAAGGAGTTTGCCATCGTGGAGCCCTTAATAAATGACCTAACACTGAGAATAGGAAGATTAGTGGAGGAGGTGTTACGACGGGAGAAGGAAATTGCTTTACTGAATGAGAAATTGGCCAATCTAACAAGAGTTCAAACCGAGATCAAGGATGTGAAAGATGAAATAACCAAGATTTCAGACATTAACTGAAGGGCCACTGCCTAAAGAATAGTGTTTGGGGAGTGTTAACTCCTATCATGTGTAGTACTGAGAAGATAGACAATATTTAAAGGCTTCATTGAGAAGCTCACCTAAACCTGAAATTTGTTCTATTCCTTTGAACAGGACAGGAAAAAGTCATACTTATTTCAAGGGAGAAATAATAATGTGAAAGAAACCATATCTCTCTGCATGTATTTGTCTTTCTGAACAATGACAGATGCTATATTTAATAAATTGCTTGTTTTGTACAATAAAGCCGTGTTAAAGCACTAAATTATGTTCTTAGCTTAAGAGTTTGCTTTCATGAAGAAAGCAGGACCCAAGAATGACAGATCTGCAGTTTCGCTTTCCTGCTGCAAAGGAAGGAACAGAATTGTGGTTTCTAGCTAAACAAGAGGTAGTCAAATAGCAGTAGCACTTTGTCTCTATTCACTCTATGATTTTTGTATACTAATTTATTTTTTAACAATATTTAACAAGGTAAATGCAGCAAAACAAGAAATGCTGGGAAATATTGCTGATTCCTTCCAGAAAGTCTGTCACACATTTAGATGGAATAATGTGTATAAGGCTTTGTGAGTCTTTATAATTGTAAATCAAAATTACTGTGCAGCACTGTTCTATCTTTAAAAGACGTAACTCTCTATAAGGACAATGCTCTGAGAGACCTACTAATGGCTTTATCCCATGTCACAGAGTCTGCTTAGGGATCCTAACAGTGTTATTCATTCATTCTTTCTTAGTCTGTTAAATACTGTGATGAGCAGCAGAATTAGCAAAGAGAAGCTACTTATGTCCCAAAAGGCTACTGCTTTGAACTACTGGAACTATTTGAGTTCCAGTATCAACTATCTGAGACATTTGAAAATGAAGCAGGCATTAACAAGATAGTGGGAATGGTTTTGCAGAAGAAGGTGGGGGAGGGAAGTGAAGAAAATGGGAATAAAAATTACTATAAAGTATATATATATATATACTATATATATAGTATATTTGTACTATAAATTAGAAGTGATACAGCAACTCAGAAAATCCCTGTAAATGAATTTATATCAAGAAGTGGAAATATACAGTAAGGCCTTTATAACTTCTTAGCTGGGCATACCTGAATGTCTTGCAACTTCTAGATCCTTGATTGTATGGAAGACAATCAAGACAAGCATTCCTCTCCCCCACTATTCTCATCCTCATTCAGCATTCCATGTCATTTGGTCTGCTTCATGTTGCTGGAGTTCTGTACCTTTTTTGCTTCATTTGCCCACAGTCAACCTCCAAACCTTTGTTTAGTTTTCTTCTTTTTGGTATAGGTCCATTCCTATCTCCCCTTTCCAGTCCACCTGACAGGATGGCAAGAATAAGCCTGTCAAAAACATGTTTTCCTAGAAGCATCCACAGATATTCTACCATCCAGTCCCTTTGTTCTTCCACACAGCTAAGCGAACCCCTGAAAATAACCATGGCATTTGAAGGGGGCAGCAAAATTCAAGAACAGTCATGGTAAATTATGCATTGCATATCATACCTGAAACAATCTATGTACATATGCACATCCACCTTAGGAATTTGAGGGTTACACAATAAAAATATTGTGGATTAAGGGCATCATAGGCTACAGTGATTTTCTTTGCTTTGTTTTCATTTTTATGAATGCATCATTTGTGGTCAGTAGCCAGTAAGAATCTGGAGAGGCAGAACTGGAGAACCAGTAGAGAAACATCTACACAAGTGATGTGGAAAATACATTGCAGCTGCACAGTTAATCTGAGCAGCCTTGACACAGCAGAGATCTGTCTGCATGAAGAGAGTGCACTCTCTCCTTGCAATAGTAAACAGAAAACAAGCCAGGATAAACAACTGTGGATTTCACTTTCAACCTCCAAATTCTAGAACACATCTCCCAGTGAAAAGCAGAGTGTACAGTCCTGTGTGTGGTTTCCAAGGGAAGTTAAGCATGCAAAAAATGTTACAGGACCATTCATTTCTGTTTCCCTTTAGATGTGTGCAGACTTCCTACCCTTCATTCCCAGGATAATCCTCTCAGAAACTTTTCGTGCTGCAAACAAGACATGACAATTAAGTCACAAACGTAAAGTTTACTTGGAAAAAATATTTTAGAATAATCTGTATCTAAAGTTGTCACACCACCATACTGACCTCAGCAGTAAGGTGAGTGATCAGAAATTCTCCCATAACACACAGGTGTTAGAAATCTCTGTTTGCCCTACAGGCACACATCTCCACTGTACTAAAAAATGCAAGTTTTATAGCAGCTTTTTAATTAGACCGCTCTAAGCAGAGAGCCCTTTCTCCAGTGGAAAAGGTGAGCAGAGAGTGAGGTATTTTCGAAAGTTAAAAGCAGACTGGTAACCTTGCCTCCTTGTTTTAGTACTGTCAGTGGTGGGGAGAGTATTGGCTCAGTGAAACTACAACCCCTTAGATCATTTCTAGGGTCATGCTGTCATACTCTGCAATTTTATCAAATGACTGAGAGATCCAGGTAATAATGAAAATTACAGCTAGCTACTTAAAACAGACCACTAAGCCCAACCTCTAGTGACATTCAGGCCATCTTTGCTTTTAATTTAGCTTTCAGGTACAAAACTGGCCTATTAATATACTTGTCAGCAACTTGAAAGGAAAAAAAACAACCCAAAAGCCAGAAAAAGAATTAAGTGATCAGTGATGAAAAATCATATGAGCAAAGTAATTCGAAAACAATAAAAATTACTTTTAGACACCAGAACATCTGCTCAGCCAAGAATTTCCTGCTTGCAGTGTCTTTCTCCCCAGCACTGAGTTACAAAAATTGTATTCTGCAACAAGACCATGCAGCTATTAGGCTCATCTACCCAAGGTACTCATATTTGCTATAAAAAAGCAGAACGTTTATTGTTTTCATTGTGAACTACATCATTGCTACGTAGAAATGTAAATGAGTTACAACTATTTGTATTATTACAGCCCATTTTAAAATGATATGCAACAGATATTTCCGCGAGTATCAGTGTCAGCACATTTCATGTGTAGTACAACCTCATACAAACACCGTGTGCAAATGCAGCTGTTACTCCAAATTTATAGATACTGTATGCTTTAAACCAGAAAGCTCATCTCAGCTCCAAAACCGGCAAGAAAGTATGTTTTCTCCTTCACAAAATATACACAAGCAGCAGATACATAATCCATGTTTTACAGAACACTCCAGGGTTTAGTGATGGGTTTGGAGTTACCCAAGTTCAAAACGGAGTACCCCTTTTTGATACAGGACTTCCCTTGCAATGGAAGTGCAAATCCATCAAAAGCACCACTGCTCCATCTCAACCTTTGGAAAATGTAGCAGGCATTATACACAAAGCAGTTAACAATGACCAAGTTGACCTTTTAAATGCATTTTAATACTATATTTTTCCCACTGAAGCTAATTTAAAATACCAGCAGGCAACCCTTTAAACAACACCCTTTCCTAACGAGCATTTGAACAATCCTATGGCTGAATGTCAATGAAGCCAGCAGCTGCAAGGCAAGTCTCTCCCCCTCTTGGGTTTTCCAGTGAAACACAACACTGCTGTAACAGTGTATTTTCCCTTTCTCAGTTACAGAAGGGGAACTGCTCGCTGCTCCTTGTAGTCTTATCTCAGATATACCTTGATAAAATTGTCTGAGTATCTTTAAAAGACAGTTTCAGGTCTACCAGTGAGCAATGAAAAAATGGAATTAAGATTCTCTTATTACTGTACGTGTTTGTAACAACTGTGCAACATTGACTCAATCCCAGAGAAAAATTGTGCGATTTTGAGAAATTTAGCTCAGCACTAGATTGCTTGACAGACTACCTCACTACGTGAGCCAAGCTTGTCTCGCTCTTCTGCCAGCCTTAAAATTTGACAGAAGTGCTTCACTTTCCCCAGGATTAGAAGGAACTTTCAGCAAACAAAGAAAAATCTACGAAGTTTGCATGCCTCTAAAGAAACATATCCAGTACACAAAAGTGACAGTTCTGCCTAGCAAGCTGTACCATACACATAACTTCAAAAGGTGATTTAACATCAACAGTCTTGATAGAAGATAAAGTCTTAGTAAAGGCTCTTCTCCAAGGAAGCTCTTAAAAGTATTTAATGACTCATTAAATAATTTTGGAGCTTCCCATTCACGATGGGGAAACAAGATTTACATACTTTTAGCAATAAATAATTTTAATTCAACAACAAAGTACCTGTACAAGTATTTTATTCGGACTTAGGGTATTTGACTTTGCTGCATAATGCAAATACCAGCTGCTCTAAGAGTGCCTTTATTATTGTCACGGTGACAGGGAAACAGTGTAGTTTTAGCTTTTACTCCGCATTCTGAAAGGCAACAATTCAAATTAAGGCCCAGCTTTCTTGTTTAGCATAATCATTCAAAATCTTGGAAGTTGGAGGATTTTCACAGGAGGTGAGAAGCTCTATGCTACAATAGCAGGCACATCGCACATCTGACTCCAGCAAGATGCAGCAGTCAGTACATTTATGATATTCCAATGGCACCTGCCTGATTTATCCTTTTGGCTCTGAAGGAGCCAAGTAAAGAGGAAGAAGCAGTATAGCATAAGTGAGTGCCAAGCTAAGTTCAGTATCAACAGCTCACATGCTGTAAGGCAGCCTATCCACAGTACTGGAAAAAAAAAACCACATCAGCTCTAGCTCTACTTCATGAGCAAAGCAGAACTGTATAGGGTGTAGTGATTACCAACTCTGGGTTACTGAACAGGTGAAATGCAGAAGGCAGCATGATCATCCTTCACTAAAAGACTTGAGAAAAAATTCAAAAACAAATACCTTCACATTGCTTTAATTGTCTCCTATTGTGAGCTGAGGAGCATGTATTTCTTCACATCAAGGTCCAAAAAATCTCATATGGCTCCCTGTGCTGCAAAAATACATGTTTCAACCATAATTCAGTATTAAACTAATTCAGAAAGAAATTAATGAAATAAAAAATACAGCTGTAGCAAATGTAGGGAAAAGCTCGCAAGCTTTTCAAACTCTAGAACAAAATACAAGCCATTTTTATTTTATTGTAAAGTTGAAGTACGCCATTAGTAGTCAAATATATTTGAAAATCTTTATTAACATCAGCTTTTCTCTAGTTAAGAGGTAGCAACTACTGTTTAATTCCACAGGACAATCGGAAGGGCCATGTTCTTTGGTGTGGTTCAAAGCCAACAGAAGCAGAAATTAGTCAAGTAAGTCTAAGTTAAGTTGAGATGACCATCC